GGGGCGTAAGGTCGTGAGATACGGCTGGGCGAGGTAGACCGATACAATACTCCGAAGAGCTGATATGTCTGGGTCAAAATGAAAAGGAACCCTGACCTTGTTTTCGTACACACACAGTGACTCACTGACACAGCATATAACGTGACTCGGATTGCAAGCTGCTGAGCGATCGATTCACGGCTCGGGGTGAAGATGGCGTCAACTCTCGGTTGTTATCCGCGCATACTTAAGAGGAAGTCCTTGTCTTTTTTGCCCCCGCCAGGTGTTTCGTCGGGTTTTTGTTACCTCCTTTAACCGACACATGATGGCATAAAGACACGTTCGGTCAGCCTGAAGATCGAACTGGGCTATAGCGCCTGGCCGGGGCCCCGGCGGCGCTGAGGTGAATAAACCACGCCGATCGATGCTTACTTTGGCCTCGCGTCCTTGGCGATCAGCCCGCCGGCCGGTATTGACCGCGGCAGCATCAGGGGGGCACGCGCCTCCTTTATTCATCGCCCGGTGGCAATTATAGGGCAGGTTGTGGGCAGGGGGGAGGAGCCCCCCCCTCCCCCCGTGAAACAGCGCTTATCATCGGCTGAACCGGAACACCGGCCGCCCTGGCTGCTGATAAGGGCGCGACCAAAAGACTTTGCGACGACACGTGTGCCGCGGGGGAGGGAAAGGTCGCCGTTCGTATTTTCGTCTTCGAGTTACGCACGACGAAGGAGGGTTCGACGTTTGACGAAACAAGAGCATGCACGATCCCACACCCATACAACGGTACTGGGGTACAGCCACGGACTGGGGGTCTAGGGGCCCAGTCTGGAAACTGCTCCGAGGGGCCCCAAAAGATACCTTTTTTGCCGGCAAGGGGCCCCAAAAGATACCTTTTTGCCTTCAAGGGCCCCAAAAGATGCCTTTTTCGCCTGGGGCCCGGTCGGGATTTCCCGACTAGCCAACCCGGGCCAGTCCGTGGCTGCTGGGGTAGCGCCTGCAACAAGCCGGGTAGGCCACCCCGCCATGCGTCTGCGTTGGGCCGGCGGCCCGCCCTGTGAGCGACTCACTTCCCTCAGGCGAGGGAACAACGTGCGTCGCTGAGGAACGTTCATTGTGGCAGGGCCTTTACTGACTGACTGACTGACTGACTGACTGACTGACTGACTGACTGACTGACTGACTGACTGACTGACTGACTGACTGACTGGAGAAGAGGCCGACTCGGGCAGTGACCCTCCCCCCCACCATCTCCTCTCCAAACTCGGCTCCGGCGAAAGTGCTTCCGCCCAACCCAAGTAAAGTATGAAAACTATCCTCGCCCCCCGGTAGTGCACGCACACACGCGGGCATTCCGACACGTCGTTGTTCACGGGTGTTCACTCTACTCTGCAGAGTTTACCAGATGCTACGATGTGTCAGAAACTTGTGCCGTACTAAAGTGTTCGTGCTTGGTGAATATGGCCGACTCACGCCGCGAGCTCCCGTAGTTATTCTGTACCGCATGCACGCGTGCGGGCAGGTTGCCTACTCACACGGGGCCATAAGGAGCTGTTGTAGTAGGCCAGCGCAGGGCGACTGAGAGCAAAAGTGCAAGCCTGGCGGAATGCAGGCGAGGCCTCGGCCGAGAGGACAGTCGCGACACAGCCTACAGTAATCCCACTTATGCACCCATTCCATTAGTATGAACGCAGATCGGTATTTAGGATGGGACACTGATGATGTTGGCATCAGCTTAATAAACAACATGAAAGAGTATAACTAAATAATATGGTGCAACCAGTGGCATGCAACAAACTCTAGACGGACCAGCAATTTCTGCTCTAAAGCAGAGACGGGGAACGCGAGGACAGGCATGCCTGCTCGCACCCCGTGCATGCGGTACAGTATGACTGCGATAGTGCTCGGTGTGAGTCAGCCACCTGGTATGTTAAAAGTGACATAATACATAATCGCGCGACCAGTAAAAATAATATTTTAAAAAATTTGCTAGTCTGTTTGTTTTTACCTTTTCAGTTATTGTTTTTGTGGTGTTTTTATGTTATGGGTTATTCACTTTGGAGGGAGTTTGTCTCCTTTGCGAATGCCTGGCTTTCAAAGCGCGCGAGTGCCAGCGGGAATACCCGGTGCGGCAACGCTGGAGGGAGCTATCGCCCAACCCACGCCAACGGGTACGCGAGTTAGCGTGTGGTGGCCGCAGCTCAACGTCAGCGTGCACACACATGATTCACTCACAGTGTCTCGGAACCTGGGTGGCCCGCACAACAGCCTCTTAACTCTACCACTCCTGTCCTGTGTGGCACGTATGGGGCACCTTCCTCCTACTTCTTTGTTTCGCTGACGCCCGACGCGAACAATCCAACGGGAGGAACGGAGGCAGCAGGGTGTCGTGAAAGAGATGACTACTGATTGCCCCCCCCCCTTCCCTTCCTGGCCATGTTTTGCACGGCCCGTCAGGCGGCTACGTTTGGAGTAACGGGTACCTCAACTCGTGTGTCAGAGTGAGTGAGAGAAGAGAAGGTCGCGTCTCTTCGCCTGCGGCCCGCCATGCGGCTGTTGACCGCTCTGTCAGATAATGCGAGCGCGACCGGTTCTCATCACCCACAGTCTTGTTCGGAAAATGTCCGCGAATCCCCCTCCCTCTCATAATCCGCACAGTATTGGGTGTCACTTCAGTCAGCCGACGCGCGATTCACCATTATTCACCTTAATATTCACCATCAACACAGCAATCCGTGCTTTCCAGAACATACGACCTTAATAATAGGAGCACTCGCCCACCACCCCGCGAGCGACCGCAGGAGAGGATCAGAATCATTTTCAGGATCCGCAGCCCAGCCCAACCAGTTGGGTCGTTCGTGGGATATGGGCTGTACTGCGGCTACAAAAAAACAAACAAACTCCGAGCGTCAGTCAGCAAGGGGGAAAGGGGGGGGGCAGTCAGGAGTCAGGTGCATTGCACCACAGTGCCATGTTTTATTCTTCGCACCCAGGAGCTTTGGTCCCGTGCCGCTGACGATTCAAACAGGCCGGCTAAAATGAGTCAACATCTGAGCATCCCCCTCCCACCGGCATTCCCCACCCACCACCACCACCACCACCACCACCGACTGGACCGCGGAGAAAACGCGCGATCGAAAAGTAGTCCCTGACTTCGCACACCTCTAGTTTCGTTGAAATTCATGTCGACTGCGGCAAATTGCGACTCAAACTGCCTGGATTACATCTGCGCTACAGGAAGACGAACAGCGGGCGAGGCAGAAGTGTGCAAGGCGCGGTGTGCGGCCGAATGTAGTCACTGACGGCGGAGGGATATACACGGCCACGGGCCGCCCTCTGGGAACGCCGCCAGCCGTCCGCCTGCCTGCCGCTGCCTGTCCTCAGTCTCGACGCGGAGTGCTTCACCTCGGCACGAGCAGACGACGCTTGTTTCTCAATCGCTTTGTTTTCGTGCAAATCAGTGTTGTTTTGGTTGCGAGGAGCACCTTCTCGCTGTGCAAGTGGAAGTGTTTCTTCTTCTCCTGGGATTGACTTAACGCAGCCGTCAAAATGGTGTCTTGCGGCATGTCTTGTATAAAGTACCTCCTGTTTGTTTTCAACTTGTTATTTGCCGTAAGTATCCACCCCATATGGACCTTTACGTTTAGATCGACACTTTGTCAAACTTCCCCTTTCCCCGATGTATTAGTTTTATTTGCTTGTACGCTCGTCAATGTACTGGCTGGAAATATTCACTACTGTAGCCTAATTACAACTCCCTAACTTGGATGTGTGCATGTGCGTCGGACAAAGGCAAACTGTTAAGTATTTAGGCTCATTCTCCTCTCATCCACTGGATCATATGAGGCCCCGCGGGTCGAATGATCCACTACACATTCTCTCGAAACTCTGCGTTTCGAAATAATTTATGAACGACGCAGTTAGGCTGCCCGACCTTTCAATCGCAGCCCCATTCCAGGGCCTCTTCGAATCCGTGCCTGTTCGCGAGCCATCCTCGCTGAAGCATGATATCCCCGTCATGTTGCGCAACGCTCGCTCCCGATGTCCTGACAGTTCCAAGGACTTCTCCTGGATTCCATATTACATTTCTCTCATCCATGGGGCGTAGCGCGCCGTGGTGACTAGGTCGGGTATTGGACCGGGAGCGTAACCACACCCCAACCTAGCCCGGCCAGCCTAGGCTAAGCTGGCCTTTCCCTCTGGGGATTTTGTTGTAATATGAAGACTTGATGTCGGTGTGGGTCGGTGATCTAAATTTTCGATTGCCAACTTATGGCCTCCAGTGTCAGAAGACTGACAGCATCCGTAAACAGCATTTCGGACGAAGGTTATGTCGCCTACCCCACCCCTTAAGGGTTGACAACCCGGCTGCTCGAGCAACAGAGATAGTTGTCACCATTACGTCAAACTTTATTTTCGAATTGCTGTGGTTTGTTTTGTAAACATTATGTCAATATCATGTCAGGATGTCTTGAATTTGTTGCTAAGGTGTTTTGACAATTTGTGACATACTTTCAATGCGCTATTTCCTTCATTTCTAGATCTCTGGCATAACTATCTTGGCTGTGGGGGCAACCATCCTTGCTTCCCAAAATAATCTGCAGCTGATAACTGAAAACTATTGGTCTGGAGCAATTGTGCTAATTGCTGTTGGCTTCATAGTTTTCCTTATCTCTTTCCTGGGCTGCTGTGGAGCCATCCGTAACAGCAATGTTATGGTGATGTCGGTAAGCTAATGATCATTGTCAGGAGATCATACAGTTTCTCTTCTTAATATGTCAGCCTACATCTAACAATTATTTTTCAGTTTGCAATTCTTCTGATCATCATCTTTGTTCTGGAACTCACTGCTGCGGTTGCTGCTTACGTGCTGAGAGCTGATGTTCATGACATGGTTCAGAATGGCTTAAACAAAACTATTTTAAGCTACAACAACAATACTCAATTCAAAGAAGGCTGGAATATCTTGCAACATGATGTAAGCTGTCCTTATTTTATACCTTTTCTTTTGGGAACTCATTTTTATATTTTATCTACAATTCAGACTGTACAACATTTGAAATTTATCTGTTTTAGTTTGAGTGCTGTGGTGTGAATGGACCTGAAGACTGGAAGAATGTGTTCAAAAATACCACTTTGCCTGATGTCTGCTGTCCTGATAAGGATGTGAAAGAGTCTTGTACTATGGGAACCACACAGCACTATACGGAAGGATGTCTGAAGAAGTTTGAAAACACCATTCAGAACAAAGCCCTGCTGGCTGGAGGCATTGCCCTTGCTGTTTGTTTCATCCAGGTAAAGTGTCATTCTGTAAAGCTTAGTCTTCTATAATTACATTGTCCTCTTATTTTAGTTGCATTATTTTGTCTATTTCCAGATAATTGGTGTGATCTTGGCGTGTTGCTTGGGAAAAGCTCTTCGAAAGGATTATGAAACTGTTTAAAGTGTTTTTGAGGACAGTGTCTACATCCGCTAATAAGTGTACTGTGTCATCAGAATCCTTGTGTGGGCCTCTAGTCTTATACTCCACACTGAAAACAAGCCTGATGGTGTCAAACTTAACTTTGTTTTATCTATTTTTTCATCACAATTTCGTACTTGCTGTTTAAAATATATTTTCAGTACTTACATTCTGAGGCATCAGTGTATCTTTAGCCTCCCAGTTCAACTGAAATCCTAATTATTTAATGTTTAGAAACACATTCAGAACTGTGTTCCACTTTAGATATGCATTTATTCTGTGGATTGTGATGTAATTTGGCATCACAAAACCATGGATAATTAAGGTTTCAATTTTAAAATCTATCCCTATCATGACATGTATACTTACTTCAATTTTTATTGTACTGATAAAAATTCACAGGGATGGTTTTTGGAAGGGTGATGGTATTATTGTTGTGGTTTATCAACTGATGACTGTTTTGTAGGAATTTTAATCATGTTCCTGCCATAACTGATATGATTAAAATGTGACTTGATTACAAATCAATTTTGCATCTTGGTGCAAGTAATACTTTGCATTCCCTATGCCCTCTATTTTGTATATAGCTCTAATGGCTTTTTTTCTTTGTTTGTCAGCCCTCTCCAGAATGCTGTTTGTGTTATCAGTTTCAATTGTAATAGAAATTTTTTATACAGAACTTGCAAAAAAATTCTGGTCAGGATTGACAAACATCGTTGTAATTCCTTAACTTGTAATTTTCAATTAGTATATGTTAATGGATATGTATGAGTAATCATACTTAGTTACCCCTTTCATAATTTTACTACTAAAAGAAAATATTTTTGTGCAGCTTTTGTAAGCTTTTCTGTGTAAAGAAAACAATGTCTTAGTTGAGTTTTCAATGATTTCTTGGTGTTACTTCTGTTTGTGACTTCTAGCTATTCATCCTCCTGACCCGTCGTCTGAACAGAGACAGTGCCAAACATTTTTTTCCTTCTCTGGTATGCCTCAATTTTAGAAACAGTTCTCTAATTTCAAAGTACCTCAAAGTTTTCAGAAAATCATGATTGAAGAATGATACATATGTGTTTTTAACAAAAACGTCCCTTTAAATTTCCCTTAGTACAAAGGATGTTTTGACTCACCCCCTTATCATAGCTTAATTAATTCCCTTTCATTGAGATTTTAAAATTAATTGCATGTATAAATGCACATTATAGGAATTTGTCTGAGCACTTTGTCAATACTTTCCATTGTTCAGTTACATTAAGCTGCACAAAACAAAAATAAGATGCAAGAATATGGTGTACTTATCACAATTTTCTCATTTATTTGGTTTGATGTTTCTGCTAGATAACATTTTCTGTCCAACTGAAAGCACAATAGCCTCAGCGTTGTCACTTATCATTTGGGAGCGCAGTGCTTAAATGTTCTATGTATAGAACCATCAGAAGACTATTTGCTCCCTGACTGGTTTGCAAGGCAAACTTCATCCTGTAGTGTGTTGTCTCGTTTGAGCCAAAGACTTTGATATTTACTCACTTGTGTACTATTGTGATTGCGCTACCTGATCTCCCTTCTCTTTGTTTTCTTCTATTGTTTTGAATTTGTGATTGTGTTTCAATAAAACGTCTAGAACCTCTATATCAAACAGACTTTTACCCTCTTTTGTCATTCTGTTGCTGGGGCAACCGTAACAGACATGCGACACGTCACACATTGGAAAGACGCCAGGATGCCCTAAGTGAAGTTAGGGAAGACTTCATCGGAGTGGCAAGGGCGGGCTGCTCACTCCCACTGAACGCATACCAACCCTATACGGG